ATATGTCAGTGTGGAAGTCCCAGTGTGTGATGGCAGCCCTGTCAAGCTTCTCCCTCTCTTGGAAAAACTGTTTTCCAACAGAGATTGAGAATTGAGGGGGAGAAAATGGTGTCTTGTTTTTTGTGACGGATCTGGATCTGGGAGGTAGAGCCTGCAATGGGAAGACCTGGTTTCTAGTCTTGAAGCTGTGGTATTATTTTGGGCAAGTGCTGGGCTTGGAGACTGTGTTCCTCTTCATCATTGAAATCATGTTGCTCTCTTCTACCTTTAAAAGCTATGATGTATCTATCTCTAGCATGCTAATTCCTTTAATTGAGAAATAGATCCACTCCAAGATAATTATAAGTTCTGATTTTGAATAATCTTGTGGATATAGCCAGAGCTATTTGGTCATCAGACAGTGTGGGGCAGCATGCTCTGTTTAATGGCCTCAGAAAAAGAGGAACTCTGAAATTAGAAGAATTAGGGGTGCCTGGGTGGCTCAGTTGGTTAAGTATCCTACTTTTGATCTCAGCTCAGGTTTTGATCTCAGGGTTATGAGTTCAGACCCCATGTTGGGCTCTGAGCTGGTCATGAAGCCTATTTAAAAAAAAAAATTAGTAACACATTCGTGTGTGTGTGTGTGTGTGTGTATGTGTGTGTGTGTGTGTGTGTGTGTGTGTTTTAAATCCATTAAACTCTCACTCAGAATTTTTTCCTGCTCATTTGTAGGTACTAAAAGTTCTGGTACCCTTTGAATGGAACACATTACTTTGACATGTGAACAAAATGAGTGGACCCCACATTGTTCTTTCAAGATCGCAGAGTACCTTATTTATATTTCTAAAAGAAGCATTTAGTTCATGAAGTCCAAAGAGATTCAGTGAGTTTAGAAAACCAGGGTGGTGAGTCTGGTCTTTACAAATTGAGTGTGATAGAATCTTACAGAAAAAAGAGGATTTTTTATTTCCTCAGTTTTATTTCAGATCTACAACTTAAAAAAAAATTTTTTTAATGTTTATTTGTTTTTGAGAGAGAAAGCGCGTGTGCAAGAGCATGAGCAGGGGAGGGGCAGAGAGAGAGAGAGAGAGAGAGAGACAGAATCTGAAGCAGGCTCCAGGCTCTGAGCTGTCAATACAGAGCCGGATGTGGGGCTTGAACTCACGGACCACGAGATCGTGACCTGAGCCCAAGTTGGATGCTCAACCGACCGAGCCATTCAGGCACCCCTCAGATCTACAATTTTTTAGAAGCCTCAGTCATGCAGCATTGTTCTAGTTGGGGAACTGATCCCTAAACTAGATGCTGATATGTGCAAGTCTTGGCCAAAATTGGAGTTTCACAGAACGGGAATGACACGCTTCCCTTTTTATTCTCCTCTGCCTTAGGATCCTGTCACCACTTTGAGAAGATTAGACAAAAACTCTTTGCAGTTTATTTTCTTTTTGAACAAGTTACATTACGAAGGGACTTTTAAGCTACAAGAAGAAAAGCTCCCTCTTTGTTAGAAGCAGCAGTGTGCAGTTTCAACTTGTCCTGGACTTCCTCGGAGATGTTTTAAGATCCGGTGTAAACTTGCTGTGGTTTGCCTTTGGGCATCAAACTGTTTAGCTTGGCTCTGTTATATCTGTAATTGCTGCATTTTAATAATTGCCCAATATTCTTGTCAGCAATTTGCAGTCTATATTTTTAATAGAACGTTTTGCCTTTCTTTTCCCCAGGTTCATTCAGACCTGGTTTAAGCCCCTGGATTAATTCTCACAGTCCCACAGACCCTCTGCAGCTGTGGGTAGGGGGTGACACATGCTCATTAAATATTCCCACAAGCCTTGTGCTGGTTATAGTTTATGTGCTCCATAAAAACCCTCTGGGAAGCCATCTTCTCCTCAGATCTCCTTATAGGCTTTGCTTTGCAAAAATTCCCCTTAGCATTTGCTCAAATAACATTCTTCTGGAGAGAGTTTTCCTTATCAATCCATTCAGGAAATTTAATTTTTTGAAGGGAAAAAATAGGGACAAATTCTTTGCTGTCATTGACTTTTTAAGTTCACGGAGGAGACTTCCCTTTCATCTGAGGTGAATGTGGAATTATGGTGACAGCAGTGTTGGATTCAGGGGATGATTGAAGTCAATTTCATGGCTTCCAAAATTACCTAATTTAGTCAGTTTTGAGACAGACCGTTGTGTCACAATGACTTGTGCCTCTACTTGACTGGCAATTTTGTTCTTTTAGTGATTCTGTTCTTTAGCTTCTCTCTTTTTTGTATCTGTTAAAGTGTTCATTTTTCAGTAAATGAAAGATTGAACTGGTTTTTACAGTAGCTAAGGATTATATTAATAACCACAGCCGAATTTCTCCACTGTATCGAGGTATAAAAATCCCTCAAAAGTAATGCACAGGTAGCATTTATTGATTGCTTATTATGTGCTCTGCGCTGTTCTAAGCTTTACACACATACACACACACACACACACACACACACACAATCCTCACAATAGCCCGTATGATAGGTTTATGCATGCAGAATAATCTACCCAACATAACCCATTTGGTAGGTGACAGAGTAAATTCATACCTAGGCAGGCTTTTAACGGTTACCATAATCCATGTTCTATTCATACTGGGCTTTTAATCACTGTCTCTCTCTCTTTTTTTTTTTTTTT